ATACTGCAGCTTTGATATTCCATGTATTGCAAAAAAGGAGACTGAACTATTCATCTGGTTTTGTACACAGTTAACTCCCTCTCAACGAGTCTGTATCATTACAATTTCAAACCTTAGAAAATGTTACCAGTTTTAAAATATTGTTGGTGGCCAACAACCGTTTTTGCATTCCTGCAAATAAATTGTTTTATACTGTAAGATGAGGTGAGTGTAACTTATTTTTGTAATAAAGTTTTTGATTTTTATCTGTGTCTTAAAACTGTTTGCTATGCTAGATCTCTAGAATTGTGAAAAAAAAAGAAGCTGATTGGCAACCCTGGAGGAGCCTTTACTGAAGCCGTTCTGAATTTTTTGTACACAAATAGCATCTGTCAAAGTGTTAGCATCACATTTTTTTCATATTTCCTAAATGTAGTACATTTGCAAAGGGTAATGGTGTATACAATTGCTCTGTAAATGATTTTTATAATGTCATACCATACCCAGTGAAAGCGAGCCTTGTATCCTTAATAGTTTATTTGGGGAATTTTAGCTTTTTTTAAATGTAGATGTACAAAGGGAATTGATTCTAAAAACATTTTTTAAATAAGAATCTACATCAAATGCTTTAACTTCAAAAGCTGCATTTATTCCAGTTCTATAAATTATTTTGTATTTTAATTCACCTCGGGCATAGTCATATGCACATACATCCACATCTGATTTACTTTACTTACACTAAATGTTCAGCAGGCATTGATAGAGATGTCAGACCTTAATCTCACTATGTTCAGAGCCTTTTTTGATAATGTTCATGGAATGCATGGATTTAACAGTACAGGTAAGTGCTTGACTTGGAAAAATGAGTCCATAATTAATTTTGTCACTATAAAATTATACAATCTTATTGTAGAATTTAGAAGTGCACAATTTAATATTAAAGTAACCATCATTAAGGTTTAATGGGATGTTCACAGTTGGTTTAATGACCACAATGTATTATAGTTAACTGCTGACAGAGAAGCTCATTGCTGTAAGAGAAGGGGCATGTTGGGAGGTCTGTTGATGGGGGGGGGCTAGTTCTGGATCTGCAACCTTTGTTGTGGAAAGGTGGTGTAGGAACTTTTTTTCCTAACAACTCTTCTGAACTAATTATTTGATGAATTGGTACACGATCACATGTTTGCTCTGCGACAAAATTAATCCAAAAACTAGGTATAACTATCCAGCTTGGTCTCCTGTAAATATCGGCGTCAGGTCTGGATAAGTAAGCGCTGAACAGACCGGATAAAATGGGGTTATTTGAAGCACTGAATGAGCTGTGGGTAATAAGACCTTTGTGTTGGTCAAACAGCCATGTCCCTGAAACTGCAGTAGGCTTAGTTGAAGCTACAGCTGGATGTCCTGGTGCCCCCAGAACTGGTGTGAAGCAGAATGTGGGAATATCCCCGGAATCATTTAGAAAGTCGCTTGATATCGGTTTTAACACTCGGCAGCCGACATGTAGCTAATTATAACGTGATGTCTTTCTTGGGATTTTGCTGAAAAATAATTAAAACTGTAGAAAGCCTGTTCTCTATATGAGTGCAAGCATACAGTTAAGTATTGGCATTTAACAATAGAATTATAATGCTCGAGGACCCATTAAAATGAGAAATATCACCACTAGCCTTTTTAATGCTAGCATGTTTCAAGTTTTTTTTTTTAAGGCAAATGGATTTAAATGACATACGGGTATTAAATCCAGCAATGTTTCCGTTTTACACTGTATGAACACCATTGAGAAATCCCGTAATGTTGTGCAATGCAGATGTAGATATTATATTGCTGAAGGTGTTGAATACCGCTGTAGATAACGATTCAGAGCACACCATTAAACATTAACTAGAACTAGGTGATAACGGGAAACCAATATTACCACTCCACACACCCCAATACAGCAGGCACGCACGTGAGATCATTGGAGTTTATGACTGAACTTCATGAGAGTGAAGTTTTACTTTCTGGTAGAGGCATTAAGACTGTACCTCCATTCCTGTAAAAACACTGGAGTCCAGAAGCCCGTGATGACTTTTGAAAGGACTACTTCCGGTGTGTGCGGAAATGACGTTAACGCTAGGATGACAGGCGAGGCGAAAGCGACTCTTCAAAACAGGAAAAGCAGTCCTTGTCCGAGGCAAAGTCAGAAATACTTCGGAGGTTTTTCCAAATAGATACATGTGTGTTATGTTGATATAAGCCCAATAGACGTAAGCGGTGGAGTTTCGCAAAAATGGCACGCCTAAAGTGACTGCAAAACGCTCTCTGTTTGAAGGATCCTGTCAGCTGAGGTAGGGTAGTCAGCGTTACCTTTCTTCAGGTGGTGACGGTGTAGCTCAACGAATTTCACTTGATTGTGTACTTTCTTTTTAACAAGAAGATACTGAGTGAACTGTTTTCCTAGCCTATTCAGACTGGCGAAAAGATGCACATTCTTATGTATCCGTAATAATCTATAGAATCGCATAGTCTTTCCGAACAT